ACAGTGTTTCCTTGCGTCATACTGTGTACAGTGTCTTACGTACCGTGTCTAGTGTGTTTCCTTACGTCATACTGTGTACAGTGTCTCTCGTACCGTGTCTAGTGTGTTTCCTTGCGTCATACTGTGTGCAGTGTCTCACGTACCGTGTCTAGTGTTTCCTTGTGTCATACTGTGTACAGTGTCTCTATAGTGTTGTATACATCACGGTGTACTGTCTCTCACGTACTGTGTCTATATAGTGTTGCCCTAGCATCACGGTGAACTGTGTCTCACGTACCATACATCTGTACTATACTGCTTCCGAATCTGCATCTAATAGGAAAAAAATTGTAATTGGAATGTTAATCTGACTAATGAAAATCAAATAATTTCTTCTCTCGAAATGATTTATATATTTTTTTCCCAAAACGACAATAGCCTAATTTTTTTGCATATTTATTTACTTCCGCATTAGGTCTATTAGCCTACAATAACCTTGTAACCACCAAAGTAAACAAAACATTGATTAAGAGCGTACATTTCCCGCGAAAATTTTTAACCACCACGTCGTCAAATGAAAGCCTTTGTTATCATTACACATTAAGTGTGCCCTTGCATGTTTCTGGCAACGTCAAGGGCGTGTATTGTTAGTATGTTCCTATTTACACCAATTACCTACTCTCTACATTCGTAATCCCTCATTTTTTTGTTTTGTACACAGGTGGATACAGGAGCAGACGACTTATGACTCCTGTTTATGGAGTGAGAGCTTTCCTCTACCCTTGAATCGTAGTCAAGTCTTACCCACTAGCTTTCCCTAGAACCCGCCAATCGGTTAACAGTCAGGGGCCAGATTCACGAAAGCACTCACGCAAGCACTTACGAACGTGTACATCTTTCCTCAATCTTTGACGGCTTTGGTTACATTTATTAAACAGTTTACAAGCATGAAAACTTGCCAATCAACTGTTGTTATTGTTATAAACAGCCTCCTGGTGCTTCCGAGCTCATTAACTGTTTAATAATTGTAAACAAAGCCGCCAAAGATTGAGAAAAGATGTACAGGTTCGTAAGATTCACGAAAGCACTTACTTGCGTAAGTGCTTTCGTGAATCTGGCCCCAGGTACTCAATTACTGCTGGGATGAACAGGAGGGGGAATAGTTGAGGCTTGGCACCCAGTCAATCCTTCCTGGCCAGGGCTCGAACCCAAACCAAATCGTTCGCGAGGCGCGGTATAGTAGAGGGTGTTGAAGAGCCTTTGAACTCCGATTGGTTTATGATAGGCTATAGAGTTACTTTGTGTAATTAGTACTGTTGTGTACTTATTGAGCTTCTACTTTTAACCAGAGCTATTTTGTAATTTTTCTATCGTATCTCTTGATCTCCAAAGTTGTTTGAATCAGTGTAATGTAACAATTTTTTTCAACAATAATAACAACATCGCTTTCTTAATAATACAATCGATTACTGAAACGAAACAGCCCAAATAAGTTTTAGTAACTACAGTCAGTTATCCAGCACAATACAATATGTGACCTTAACAATATGCTTTGTTGGAACACAACGTTATGACAACACTACAACCCAAACTGTTTATCCAAACAACGTTTACGGAACAACAACATGGACAGTTTGTAATTAAACAATCACAACAGCGCTGAACACGAGCTATACCTTACACACGTTTCGTAATTACCTACTACATTTTCAAAGTATACCTTACACAGCAGCAGTTGCAAAGCAACACTCCCGAGAGATTGATACAACACAACCACTCGCACTGAACATTTGGGGAAGGGAAGCGGGGGACGAGGAGAGAATTGCCGAATGAGGCTTTAAAAAATATATATATAGTGTCTTCCCAGACGCTTGGCGCCTGGGATATGTGACACCTTGAGCGTAACTCATCTTTTGTTGGTAGCGAATGAATGACATCGCGAATAACTGATCTTTTGACAGTTGCGTATGTGATATAATGGGTGTAACTCTCACCCTTTGACAGCGGCGTTTGATTTTAACCCATTCTCAGGCAATGAACGAAACTCGTCTTTTCTTATTCTCGTATGAATGACACAAAGAGTGAATGTTCTATATATATACATATAGAATACATCAGTGTGTGTGTAAATCACGAAGAAATTAACACATGGTGAACAATGTAACAATGTCAGACTACGAAAGAATAATTAAAACAGGAAATTCCTTAAGTACCTTCGTATTTAATAATACATCTTCAGAAGGATCAAAATATATATTTTCATATATATATTGGCGTACAGTTTTGTGTTCGATGTGGCTTGCATCCGGCAACGCTAACTTTATCCACTGTAGAACAGTAAAACAAATTGTCATCCATGTGTAACCAGGAACTAGCCCTCTATCTCCACCCGTGGGGAGAGAGAGCTTAGTGTGAACCATCTGACCTCTTACTTTTTATAAGTTGGAAATGTTCACTGCAGTCCCAGCGTGATACTGAACACGCTCAATGCTCGCCATGCAAAAACAAGTCTGCACCCCACCCACCACCATAATATGTTTATTGTTTGTGATGTGTGTCTATGTATGTATTAACACGTTGTACTGAACGGGGTGAGAATAGCTTGAGCTACCTCATCCCTTTGTGTGTATTTTACATCAATAAACTTATTTCAATTTCAATTTCACCACCACGATGCTAGGCTTCCCACTCCCCACCACGTAAGGCTTTTATCTGCTCCAATTTTTTTTTCTCTCTCTCGTGATCGCCTCTGATTATTCTTCAGATCACAGTTAGTCGCTTGCAGGGGATGTGCAAGCACACACACACATACACACACGCTGAATGATGTGCAAGCAAGCGCATCATTCAGGCACACACACACACACACTAGCATCATTGCAGACAAATTCTGAGCGTCAAATATATTAGCTAGGCGTTTCCAACACTGTTAAAATGAATTTATTTGAAGAAAATTGATATAGTTTTGTTGTTTTTAATTCAAATTATGTTTTATATATTCCGTTACTCTGTGATCTCCCCCCCCCCCCATAGCAAAAGATACGGACATACGTCATCCTGTTTGGAGAGATAACATCACTAGATAACAGCCCGGAAAAAGATGTATTAATGAGAAATGTGGCGTTGAGAATGCGCGCCGCGACATGGAACCTAATTCTGCTTACAAATGACTAATAATAGACCTTCAACGTTTTCCCAGTAACAGAATTGACGGAAATAGACCCGCAAATTCTGGGGCACAAGATGAGTCCGGGGAGAGAGATAGGTGAGATCTGGGCATCATCTGCATATAGTTGTCAGTTAGATTTATGGGGTATTCATGCCCGTGCCACCTCTAGGGTGGCTTAATCTTCATCAATCATCAGTTAAATCTAATTGACGATGGACGACTTAATATCACAAGAAAAGAAATATTCGCCCTTTATATTTCTATTCCGCCCTCTATAACTGCGTCATTATTATTTTATATTATATTTATATTATATTTATATTATATTTATATTATATTTATATTATATTTCCGCCCTCTATAACAGCGTCAAATTATAGAAACGCATTTGAGAGCATCAGCTGTTTACCATCAACAGTTGTCAGTAAATTTAAAACAAATAACTTCAAAAGATCTGGTCAACTTTCCATTGATCTTAGAAGATTAGCTAACAAATAACCCATATCTTATCTTATCTTGAGTCGGGGCTTAGCGTCCCCGCGGCCCGGTCCTCGACCAGACCTCCCTTTGGTTACAACCCCCCACCCCCCAGAAAGCAGCCCGTAGCAGCTGTCTTTAACTCCCAGGTACCTATTTACTGCTAGGTGAACAGGTGCATCAGGGTTAAAGAAACTCTGCCCATTTGTTTCCGCCTCCACCGGGGATTGAACCCGGAATCTCAGGACTACGAATCCGAAGTGCTGTCCACTCAGCTGTCAGGCCCCTGAAGCCAGCTATCCGGCCGTGGTGTGTGACACAGGTGAAGCCAGTTATCCGGCCGTGGTGTGTGACACAGGTGAAGCTCAGTTATCCGGCCGTGGTGTGTGACACAGGTGAAGCCCAGTTATCCGGCAGTGGTGTGTGACACAGGTGAAGCCCAGTTATCCGGCCGTGGTGTGTGACACAAGTGAAGCCCAGTTATCCGGCCGTGGTGTGTGACACAGGTGAAGCCCAGTTATCCGGCCGTGGTGTGTGACACAGGTGAAGCCCAGTTATCCGGCCGTGGTGTGTGACACAGGTGAAGCCCAGTTATCCGGCCGTGGTGTGTGACACAGGTGAAGCCCAGTTATCCGGCCGTGGTGTGTGACACAGGTGAAGCCAGTTATCCGGCCGTGGTGTGTGACACAGGTGAAGCCCAGTTATCCGGCCGTGGTGTGTGACACAGGTGAAGCCCAGTTATCCGGCCGTGGTGTGTGACACAGGTGAAGCCCAGTTATCCGGCCGTGGTGTGTGACACAGGTGAAGCCCAGTTATCCGGCCGTGGTGTGTGACACAGGTGAAGCCAGTTATCCGGCCGTGGTGTGTGACACAGGTGAAGCCAGTTATCCGGCCGTGGTGTGTGACACAGGTGAAGCCAGTTATCCGGCCATGGTGTGTGACAATGATAAGTTATCCAGCAGTGGTGAATAAGACCAGTTATCCGGCCACAGTGAATGACTGGAGGAGAAGGATAAGGCCAGTTGTCCGGCCAGAAGGGAGGATAAGGCTAGTTGTCCGGCCAGAAGGGAGGATAAGGCCAGTTGTCCGGCCAGAAGGGAGGATAAGGCCAGTTGTCCGGCCAGAAGGGAGGATAAGGCCAGTTGTCCGGCCAGAAGGGAGGATAAGGCCAGTTGTCCGGCCAGAAGGGAGGATAAGGCCAGTTGTCCGGCCAGAAGGGAGGATAAGGCCAGTTGTCCGGCCAGAAGGGAGGATAAGGCCAGTTGTCCGGCCAGAAGGGAGGATAAGGCCAGTTGTCCGGCCAGAAGGGAGGATAAGGCCAGTTGTCCGGCCCACGGTACAGTACTCCACCGCGGACGCCTCAGGCAGTACTCACCTCAAACACTCCTCCCAAGACGACACACCTTCTTAAAAACTCCCTCACTGGTGCTCCATAACACCCCACACAGTTAGCCTCCACTCAGGGCCAGCGATGTAGCAGTAGTCTGCACACACACACATACGCACACTCACTCACGCAATAAAACACACGCGCTGCAATTAACACCTGTTAACGGCAACAAAGTTTTACAGAGGTGCGACGGAGCGCACGCACACACACACCCTCCCCGTCCACAGGTCCAAGTCACTCTGAGAGCGGTTAGTAACTTTGGCGCGGACTCCACCGTCATCATGCCATTCGCTCAATATAATCTTGTTTATATTTCATCTCCTGTTTGCTACGTCTGTTTTCATATATTTACATCATTCAGGCACACTGATAAGCTCTTATTCCCGGGAATAAAAATGTCTAATGACAGCGGATTTTAGAATTAAAAATTAAAGAGGAAAATCAGGAGAATATGGGACACATCTGCCTGTGGGAGGGGACGAAAGGTGGGATGGGGGAGAGACACAGGGGGATAGAGGGTGGGGGAGAGAGAGAGAGAGAGAGAGAGAGAGAGAGAGAGAGAGAGAGAGAGAGAGAGAGAGAGAGAGAGAGAGAGAGAGAGAGAGAGAGAGAGAGAGAGAGAGATAAGAATGCCGCTGTATTAATAACTTATCACAGAGCAGATCTGAACATTCTTGATATACATTCCTCCACAGTCTCTGACCTGGATGCTGTAGGAATGACGCATAGTACTGTTGTACTCTCTCTCTCTCTCTCCTCGATAAACCGTTAGCCTTATCATGGCCAACTGAGAAATGTCAATAGGAGATCTTGAACAAACTGTCTTACTGAAAAAAAAAATGGTGAAATGAGTTTTTTTTTTTTTAAGATAGCGTCACCAGAACCCCCCCCCCCCACCAACCCCCTCCACTTCAACCTGTCATAGAAATTTATGAAAATAGCCGGCAAAAGTTTACCAAGAATCCCAAACACTTCATAGATCTGCGATTCTCTGATCATTCCCAACTCTGTATCTCGTTACACACACCTGTTTACGAAAGCCAGCTCGTATATCTTTTAACTACCCTGTTGTTTGTGGGCATCCGTCTCATTTGGACAGACTAATATACCAAAGCCTGTAACCCCCACTACGAACACATGAGGGCCAAGCAGGGCGACTCTTAAGAGTGACTACAGCGAGAACCCAGCGGCCAGGGGGTGGAGTAAGCCCAAGCCTGCGCCACGACCGGGGAATGGGAAGTGTTCCTATGCCCGGTGGATGCCCAGTCCACCCTACCTCACCTTCACTCTCTCACACCCGACCCTTCCAGCAGTCTCGCCCACACACTCACACACCTGACCCCTTCCAGCAGTCTCGCCCACACACTCACACACCTGACCCCTTCCAGCAGTCTCGCCCACACACTCACACACCTGACCCCTTCCAGCAGTCTCGCCCACACACTCACACACCTGACCCTTCCAGCAGTCTCGCCCACACACTCACACACCTGACCCCTTCCAGCAGTCTCGCCCACACACTCTCACACCCGACCCTTCCAGCAGTCTCGCCCACACACTCACACACCTGACCCCTTCCAGCACACACGTACACGCTCACACACCTGACCCCTTCCAGCACACACGTACACGCTCACACACCACACACCTTTCCTCCACACTCCCAAAACGCTCACGCCTGATCCTTCCTACACATCCACTGGATCAGTGATCAACATTGGATCTATGTCGACCCCATACCCATCCTCTGGTTGACTCCTGTCCTGGGGGCCAGGGTTCGAATCCTCTGAGGGGTCATAAGAGTTGTACACACACACACACACACACACACACACACACACACACACACACACACACACACACACACACACACACACACACACACACACACACACACCACTAGCCCTCCACACAAAGGCGGGACCGAAGAGCCAGAGCTCAACCCCCGCAAGCACAACTAGTTGACTACACTACCTAACACCCCAAAGAGTATCTACTGCTCAACCCTCCTTCCTAAATCCACTCTGGGTTAATTACAGCCAGTTATATCAATGACTCTACTCATAGTTAGTGTTGTACGGTGACAAACTTGTTCACGAAAGATACTCAAGTTGTTGTTGTTATAGATCAACCACGTTCTCGCAAATTTAATAAGTCAATATTGACTTATTAAATATGTGCATAGGTGACATACTATCAACATAATAGATACCCTTAGAAAGATTCATAGAAAACACCGACCTTACCTAACCTACTTAGTCAATGTTAAGAAAAATAGCATCTTATTGCTTCGTAATTACAATTATTACCTAACCTATAATAGGTATAGGTTAAGTAATAATTGTAATTACGAAGCAATAAGATGCTTATCTTAAGATACTAACAAGGTTAGGTAAGGTCGGTGTTTTCTATGAATTTTTTTAGGGGTATCTATTATGTTTAGTATATCACCTATGCACGTAGTTAATAAGTCAATATTGACTTTACGAATTTGCGAGAACGGGTTGTATAGATTCAGCTACTTGGAACACGTTCCCAGTAGCACGGGCTATGGTGAGCCCGTAACTTACCTGGCACAGGAGCGGGGCAAGTAGCACGGGCTATGGTGAGCCCATAACTTACCTGGCACAGGAGCGGGGCAAGTAGCACGGGCTATGGTGAGTATGACAGCGGAGAATGGTCGAAAGCCTATCTATCATAAGCTCTTGAAAAGATAGTTATTAGAGTATTAGGCTTCATTAACAGACATCACGAGTTCCGACGATCCTTTTCTAGAATACTGCATACAGACTTAGTCAATGTACTAGAGAAAGAATAGTGAGTATTCAATTTTTTTTAAATTTTGCCCCGAGGGGCGAGTTTATTGGGCAGCGCCACTTATCCTGTATTAAATTCGGTTTTCAGCTCCGAATGACAACAATTCCATCAAGACTTTGCAATGAATCAAAAGAAATCTATTTTAAAGAGTAGAAAGGAATAGAATATGAAGCTAATTGATACATCTAAAATCATCAAAGATCATATCAATCTTGACCCAGAAAAATACTTTAGTTTTGCAATGAGCAGGCGATGAGTCACAATAACGTGGCTGAAGTATGTTGACCAGACCACACACTAGAAGGTGAAGGGACGACGACGACGTTTCGGTCCGTCCTGGACCATTCTCAAGTCGATTGTTAAGTTTTGCATTGTTTAGCATCACTCGAAAGAACATTTTTTTTATATAATAGGCAAACCTTTACACTCAAAGAGGAAATATAATTGTTCTCTAATCTACTGATAAGCAAAGGAAACCGCTTAACAATTGATGTAATTTAGAGTAATACTGTGAACAAAAATTTAAAACTAAATTTAGATAAACACTAATTCAAGTATGTTTATTGAGACGAGAAAGAAATACATCTCAAAGGGATAGAGTAGCTTAGGCTATTTAGAATAGCCTAACACTAACCAGTATAGGCTTTCAGAAATCAGAAAGTATAGGCTTTCAGAAATCAGAAAGTATAGGCTTTCAGAAATCAGAAAGTATAGGCTTTCAGAAATCAGAAAGTATAGGCTTTCAGAAATCAGAAAGTATAGGCTTTCAGAAATCAGAAAGTATAGGCTTTCAGAAATCAGAAAGTATAGGCTTTCAGAAATCAGAAAGTATAGGCTTTCAGAAATCAGAAAGTATAGGCTTTCAGAAATCAGAAAGTATAGGCTTTCAGAAATCAGAAAGTATAGGCTTTCAGAAATCAGAAAGTATAGGCTTTCAGAAATCAGAAAGTATAGGCTTTCAGAAATCAGAGAGCATAGGCTTTAATCAAACAAGCAGCCTAGTTGAATCTAGTAGCTGGTCGGCCGAGCGGACAGCACGCTGGACTTGTGATCCTGTGGTCCTGGGTTCGATCCAAGGCGCCGGCGAGAAACAATGGGCAGAGTTTCTTTCACCCTATGCCCCCTGTTACCTAGCAGTAAAATAGGTACCTGGGTGTTAGCCAGCTGTCACGGGCTGCTTCCTGGGGGTGGAGGCCTGGTCGAGGACCGGGCCGCGGGGACACTAAAAAGCCCCGAAATCATCTCAAGATAACCTCAAGATAGTAGTCCGCTGTTGATTCAATTCCTTTGTAAACGTCAAATTACCGAAAAAACGCCGTAAAAAAACGTGAAATGAACCGGGACAAGAAGACATGGTGTCTTGCTGTGACAAAAAAAAACAAAAAAGAAACCGGAAGCGTACAAAATATTTATATTTGAAACAAAGAAACCTTAGAGAGACTCTACGAGCAAGTCTGTTCCAGGAAACCACAACCCCGTAACCACACACTTACGATAAACAGTGACCTCACGTCGTTACAAAATACAAAAAAGATATATATTTCACAGCGAAATACATATATCTCTTCTTCCATAACAAAACAGCCCGTCAAAAAATACGTTTAAACCCATTCTCCTAAAAAAAATGATTCAACCTGTATCTTTTTAAGCAGTAGAATCTACTACCAGAACCAAGAACAATTATGATTGGTTAACCAGACCACCAATCAAGGAGGCCTGGTCAGAGGACCGGGCCGCGGGGACACTAAGCCCCGAAATCATCTCAAGATAACCCATATGGATTGTTGCAAATACAAATGTCAAGTTAAGTACCACTGACGTTCTTAAGGGCAATAAGAACGACTTGCCTGCTCCTCGTCTTATTAAAAGCGACTCTAGGCTAAATCTTAGGTCTAATGGAGCATTTATAGGTAAGATAATTAATCCATTACACAAACAGAAATCCCATTAGCGTGACTAAGGGGGTCGAAATAGCCTAAGCTACTCTATCCCTTTGAGATGTATTTCTTTCTCGTCTCAATAAACATACTTGAATAGCGTGATGCATCAAATGAACAAATCCACAAAGGGGCCGTGACGAGGATTCGAACCTGCGTCCGAGAGCATCCCAGACGCTGCCTTAATCGACTGAGCTACTACATGGTCCAGTAGAAGTTAGATTCAGTCGCCTTTTCGGGTCCTATACAAAATCGACAGTACAATTTGTTGACGTGGGTGCAACAGTGTATAT